TGAATTCTGGTGAATTCTGAAGGCACAGTTTTTAGTAAAAATCGTTGCGAGACAGAGTTGTTCAAATATTCGGTAAGCATATTATTGAAGAAATGCGCATTTCAATACTGATTCCAAATCTGTCCTTCGTATCCTTGAAACTTGATTCCAAGGAGAGTTAAAAGGGTTTGTTTTTAATGGATGTCCTGGCCAAGTTTTCCTGGATCCTTGCCAAAATCTTCTCCACAGCGCTCGTCCTCCTAACTATCTCCTACGGCTACAAGCGGCAGGCCTTTGGTTCCTCCTGCACCGCATCCCCCATCTGCGACACCTTTTTAGGGAGAAAATGCTGTTTTTGAAGGGTAGAGAATGTTTGCGACCAAAAAGCTTATTTCCTACATTCCACACTTTTTCAGTTCTGACCCCCTCTCTTACGACACCCCCACCCCACCGCCAATGCCCCCTTTAACACGTTGACGACGAGCCATTTTTTGAAGGTCTGTCCCTGCGGACGAACCGTTTCTCGGCACTTTCACAGCTGGCTGCATGTATGTATGCATGCATCTATGCGTGAGATACAAAATTGCAGGTGGGCAGGGCGGCTCCGCCCATTTTTGGCAAGCCCCGCCCACTTCTCAAAAATGCTGGAAATTGCCCAAAATCAATGAATTCGTGCAAATTCCGGCATTTTTGAAAAGTGGGCGGGGCTTGCCACTCAGGGGGCGGAGCTTGCCTGAAGGTGTGCGGGTCCTGGCTGATAGTTGTTTGAGGTCTTTGCGTTCATTTACGGCCTCATCCATGCTTTTCATGAACAAAAATGGCTCTTGTGGGAGGCATAGGAGTGGGCGGAGTCTGCCAAAAGGGGCGGAGCTAATACATGAAGTATATCTGAGCCTATGTTGATTATATGAACAAAAACTGAGAGGATTGGACAGATAGTATTCAAATTAAGGCCGCCGCGCACCATTGCGCGGCGTCGTCCACAGGGACAGACTGCCTGCCGCGCACCATTGCGCGGCACTGTCGTCAACGTGTTAAGAGCCCCCGTTGCGACAGTCGCATCACACGCTCGACCCTGCCTAGGACACTGCGTGGGTTCAGGGTTCCGATCTGCAAGTTTGGACATGTCGGGCACGGCAGGCCCGATTTTCGACAGATCGGGCTCTGCTGCCCGTTTAGGCCATGCTAACCACGCTCACAAAAATCAGAGTTTGGACGTTACCGCCTGTCCGAGCAGTGTGTAAAAATGGAACGCGCCCGAAGCGCGGGCGAATGATAAATACCGCTCTTGAAGGGCTCCTAAATCTAACGCATTATTGAAGAGGGCTTCCCGAGCAAACTATAGCCCGACTGCGAATGCAAAATACTGCTTCTGGAGGGAGAAAACAGCCTTCAGAAGCGTGAAGAGACCCGCTTCTCGATTTAGTGACGCCATCACAAAAGCGGAAAATCGCGCCAGGACACGTGCCCTGCGACGCACTCTTGGATCCAGTGGGTTGCCAAGATTTCCTGCTACGGCAATAACGTCACTGAATCGAGAGTGGGTCTGTTTACATACTGTGTTCTCGCTCCAAAGCAATTTTTTGCACTCGCAGTCTGGCTAGAGTTTGCTCGAAGGGCCCTCTTCGGTAATGCGTTGGAACTAGGTGCTTCCAGATCTGCCCGGGCACCGCCTTCAAAAAGACCCTCAAACTTCGCGAACGAAGCAAACCAATCGCTTTTCAGTTAGCTAATGACTCACAAATCTAAAAGGATTGGTCCAATGACGCTGGTAGATGATGACGTACGCTGGTAGTTCAACGAGACCCAGCAACAGATAATTTGTGTAGACATTCCCTGCCAAATGTGTGTTGAGTGAAAGACCAAGAAGACCAAAATAGACAAAATTATCGCATGTCCTGAACTATCGCATTATTTCAACAGGTAGGTGGAATGGATAGTATAGATACAATGCATTACCATAGGTACTGCTGTATATGATACAATAAGCGATCTTATCGATAAAGATCTTATGTTGTCAGATGTCCTCGAAGAAGTTGTGTCTGTAATAGCTGCTAAGCGTCTTATCAAAATTTGAATTTTATCAAACCCCTGAGGAGGAGAAGCATCCGTAAAGTTACAAATCAAATTGTCAGCGTCCGCTTGATCAGCTCTATATCCAAAGTTCTTGAGCCATTTGTGAATTTTCTTTGGCTTACGCTTAGAAACTAGATAATGCAGGGTCTCTGGAACAAATCTGCAAACAATTCCGATTGTACTTAGAAATTGTAAACCGTAAGCACTCTTTATTTTTATGTTTATTTTGTTTCCCTTCTAATTCTGTTGAGTAGGTCCATAGATCTTGCACTACAAACATTAATCATAGTTCTATCTAGTCTGAATAAATGCTTCATTACGGAAACGCTTGAAAAGAGCTATGTGTTTTCCAAATGTGCTTTAATCGATTTTTATATCGAAAAATTACGACGATAGTAGCTAACAAACAGAAGTGATCAAATCGCATCTTTCGAAATGGTCACGAAAAATGCTAAAATCCTAATAAATCCTAATACCTTTCAAAATAGCATGCAGAAATTTGTGCTTTTTTGAAGCAACTAATAAGGATTTTTGAGTTTGCGTCGAGATTTCGGTTTTCGCTCCTCAAAATTTCCAATGTACATCACTTTTGTTTGGCACGCAAGTTTTGCAACTTATTTCGTAACTTTTCCCATTTTGCCTGTAACGCATTTATTTTTGAATGTAGTGTAGAATCATTTAGTAGGCTAAAATGTGTCAAAAAGTTTGAATTGGTAGCGAAATGGAGAAAATTTACGCATTTTCTGAAAGCTGGACAAATCCGAAATTTCAAGGGTTGGAAAACCAAAAATAGAGCTCTTCTTCGTTTAAATCAGACACTCAAGCGAAAATGTAGAATGATGATAATGTTGATAAAGGAATCTCTAGTGATGTGTGCACTTCCGGCGCGTTTGATTCAGACTGAGAAGGCTTTACTCTTGTTTTCAGATCCTTGGAATTTCAAATTTGACCTGCTTTCAAACAATGAGTGAATTCCATTTCGCTACCAAAAATCGAAGTGTCAGCGCAGATTTTTAGCCTACTACTTAGTCTACATTATGTCCAAAAATGAATGCGTCACAGCTAAAAAGAGAAAAGTTAAGCAATGAGTTGCAAAACTTATAGGCCGACCTATTATAGTAACAAAATGTATTGATTTCTGTGCAAGACTTTGCACCACCTAATGCTTATGGTGAAACTGAATACTCGCTTCCAGCACCAGAATGTATAAATAAGTGTGAGAAAACAGATTGTAGTCATCAGTTGTCTCCAGGTAATAGATGAATGATAGATGAATGAACCATCAACGCTATTGTACAGTAACCAAGCACCCAAGTTGCTCCGAAGAGAAATGTCGTGAACGAACGGAACTTGGTCGGTGTATTCTCGTAGGCAGCCACCCAGGCGACCAAGTTAGCGCCCTACCAAAGCATGTACAAAAAGGAAATCAGCATGAAATCAGCTAGTCTCTTCAAATATGACACTTACTGTATATGAGGCTCCTTGAAGAAGACGGCATGAGGCGAAGAAGTGCACTGAGGTGCTCTGCGAAGCTAGCAAAGCACTGAGAGCTTGGATCAAGAAACACAGAAACATCACAGGGCGCCTTCCGTATCTAGGCATTTTTTGTTATTTTTTAGTGGATCCCATTGGAGCGCAGGAATTTTGCTTGAGCGGTGGTGGGGGGAGAAAGCAGATATTTCTTTGTGACTGAAAGACGTCCCAATTTCAAATTTTTTGGGATGATTGTCGAGTCTTTCGCGTGCTAGTAGCATGCTTACTTTTAGCGCTAGCATCCGGGATTTTTTTCTACAGAACCTAATTTGACATTTTTGACCATGTGGACCACTTTACGAAAAACCGCAAGGAATGTTCGATGAGGGGATGAGAGAGTGAGGGGAAGGGGAGACTCGGAGAAGACAAAAGAGCTTACATTACTATGATTTTGTACAGGCCTTGTGAAACCTAACCGCTCGCACCGTGCCCTCAACACCAGCAAGGTGAGCGGTTGTCGCAAATTCTAGGCGGTCTCATTTCCTCATGAATTTTTCAGTCAACATCCATGTCGCTTCCACATTGTACAGTATGTTTTGGCCGAAAGTGTCCTTAAAGTTTATAAAACTGCGTCTAAAGGAAGTGCGCGCTCATTGCCGCCCGTGAACAATTGTACCGCGTCGGGACCCCACGTCTCCAGCCGGCGCGGTGATGTTCAAAACGAGGAGCTGGCAATTCGGTTCACAAGGCTTATGTGTATTTGTCAAAAATCGTAGATTATTCAGCTGTCTGCAGTATGGGTGAGCGTGCTTCCGCCAGTCATGTTTCCAATCATAAAAACGAGGTGCTTTCACTTAACACGTTTCGGACCGCGAAATCGCGCGCGGCGAAAAAGAGTGTACTTTCGGCCGTTAGCCTACATAGGGACCTTATTTCGCAGCCTGTGGGCCACATTTGTAATCAGCATGTCAGATAAGCTCCATGTACAAAGTTCTGAGTGAATTCCAAGTGTTTGAATTTTGTCGCTTGAGAGGGACTTTTGTGCTTTCTTGAAAGATAGGAACAAGCAGATTCTAATAGTATTCAAAAGTATCTATGTTGTACACGGCACACATCAGTATTAAAACTACGGTTTTTCTCTTTGATATCGAAGCAAAGGAAAGTTGCGACGTCGCACGCGTCGTTCGCGTCGCCGCACTTCGTTGCAACTGTTGTTCGATTTGTGCTCATATCTCCTAAATAAATATCGGCGGCACAACTCTACAGAGTCATTTGAAAAGTAGGAGGTTAGACCTTTAACTTAACAATTTTAGACTAAAAGGAAACCTCCTGCAAACGCCAGAAAGATCCCTCAAAGCAGCGTGCTGCACCATGTGCAGCACCGGTCCGAAACGTGTTAAGTAAGCCATCTCTCCTCAAAGATCGAACTATACAATGTAATTTTGCTTGTAAAGGCTTGTCTGATTTACATTTTAATTATTATATCTTAGTCCATCAGTGACTGTAAGCATAGTATCAGTACAGTTGCCATAGTCTATAGAAGTTAAGGCGCTGGACATGATGGAAAGGGCTCCGAATCCCCAAGAGAAGCTGCATGACACGATCGCTGCCACTAGCCTCTTGTTGTGGGTTCCTCAAATGGTCTACTACAAATGCCACAAACAATCGCTTGAAGTCAGAGGCTCTCACCTATATTGTTTAGCACATCCTCTGGATTATGTATACTAGAATCTGTCCCACTAGCTCCTTCCTTTGATGAAGAGGACGTCGTCATGGCTCTGCAAGTTTGACTAACCTTCTGATTAACCTTCTGATTCAACTGGCTCGGCGGCTGGAAGGCGGGGCTTCGTGACCTAATTAGGGCTAGATAATGGTCAGAGAGCAAGCGCGCGATACAGACGCAGATGCGTCATGGACGCGAGCGGTCTTAATTAGGTCACAAAGCCCCGCCTTCCAGCCGCCAAGCCTGTTGAAAAAAGGTTATATTCAGATACTTTCTAATACGTTTTACGGCGATACAAAAAGATAGAATTTACACTTATGCTTATCAAAACAGAGTCAACGTTAGAGCCAGAAAAGTTAAACAAGAGGCCTTTTTCACTTTGAAGTGCAGGAGTTTCGAAACGATTGCGCTTTGATAGTGTGGTACACTATGGAACAGAGCTGCGAAGACGATTTTACTATCGCAGTGGTTTGTGAAGGTATCTTAGTATTTTGGTACATGCATTCGTTAAACAGTGAAACAATAGAAGATTTTTTGAATTGAATGAATCACATGAATTGTGGATACTTCAATAAGAGAAAGAAAAAATTGTTAGTGAAGAGTTTTTTCTTGAAGGAATGTTACCTTGTCCTTCATGTAAGTGAAACCCTTTTCAACAGATCTGCAACTTTCTCAATTTAGAAAGCCACAGAAAATTGGTTCTAAGAGACTTAAAATTGGTTCTAATAGTAGATGAGAAATAATAAAAATCACAGCTCAAAAACTATTTTGTGAAGAAGCGATCGGATCTGCGTATCTAGAGTCGGGTGGAGAAACTTGTCCAAGCACTTTTTCTTTTTGGACTGTCGAAAGCCGTTCAAAAATTTCAAGGATGACTTGATAATGCAAGAGAAGCAGAGCACCTTGACGCCGAAGTCAACATGAGGCTTGTTTACAGGATGTGTCAAAATTACGTGAGTCAAATTTGCACGGCCAAAGGGACAAGATGTTTAAGTATTGAAATAATACCACAGAATGCCACAATCATCCTCAACAAAAGCTCATTGATGAGCCCGAGATGGTTGAAAATGTATTTTTGTGAAAAATGGAATTGTCGCACAGTTCTTTTGGAGAGCAAAAGCTCATTTTTTGGCTCTTACGTTTCATTGTGGTCATCGTGGTCATTATCAATGAGCGGTAAATTTCATTAAAATCTGCAGCTCACCCGATATCCTAAGTAATTACCTCAGTTTTCCACTCACAATCAAATTATCAAAGGTCATATCACAGTCTAAACTCGGAACACATCGTAAGAAACATATCACAGGAAAAAGGGTTCTGAAGATCTTTTACAGATGCAGAACTTTCATAGATGTCGATAGCAGGTGGCCCAAGTCGCTGAACGGAATTTTTTTTTTTGTTATTTGAAAGATTTCCGTGGTGAGAAAAATGAATTGAAACAGCACAAATACAACTGGATTAGAATAAAAATAAAACTACGCTTTTTGTGTGATTTGGGTAAACAAAAATCATATTCCTTCGATGTATTCTCTCTCTCCGCCAAAAGCCACCATTCAAAGAGATAACGGCGAGTCAGGACGAGGAGAAGGGAGGGTAACATTTCGGCTTGGTTTTGTAGCGCACAACTATCAATAAAATATGATGCTACCTCGAACAGCAGGTCAATGCCCATGAAGAATAATATAATTTTGACAGCAATGAAGCTAAACAGTACAGTGTGTAAAATATTTTTTTTTGTTAGCCTGATCGTTGAGAGACAGACATCACGTGACGCGGTAATTACCAAGACTTTGCTGTAACCATGTATCTGGTGGAAAAAGAAAGTATTGCATGAGCATAAACGCCTCCAAATCCGAAAGACTTTATCCAAAAAATGCCATAAAAACTACGGTTTAGTTCAAAATCAAATGTCGAAAAATCAAAGTAATTTATTTGGGAACATTGGACATGACGTACGATGTATGAGCAAATGTTGCTCGAGCGCGGATGTTCACGAATAATTGCCACCTAATTTTGGTCAAAGACCATTGCGTGAGAAACAAAGTTCAGAGCTTAACTTCATATTTTTCGTACTAGAAATAGTTCGTTCAAAAGTAGGTGTCTCTATATCTTGACAGGTGTCACTTACAATAATGAATGAAGTGAAAAAATGCAAAAACAAGATCAATAGCAACTTTTCTCTGTGTGCATCTTTTATCTCTCAAGTTCTAGGGGATTGGTCCATAAGTCTTGCACCAAAAATTGAGAAATCAACTCCAAGAATGTTTTGAGGAAACTACGATCTACAGGGTGTCCCAAAAGTATGTATGCACTGTTTGATCGTTAATATCTCTCTTCCCAATAAGTCTTTTGCCTTGCTTCAGGAACCGTTTTGTAGAGCTGGCTTCAACTTAGATTTGCAGTATAAAACGAATCACCCATCCCTCTCCATTACTGTAGGATTAAGGTAGAAACTTTAAAGAGGGTTTTGAGCCATAAAAGGCCGTATTTTGTTTCAGAAAGGAACTAGGCTAATTAGAGTTGCTGATTTTGACTATAAAGTTCCCAGCTTATTATGATGCTTCATTGGAAATTTATGCCAGATAAGCAGTAGCGGCCATTTTTTTAATGTTCCTAAAAAGTGCGGTTACACCATTTAGAAAGCTTCGCAATCTTGTGAATAGTTGAATATTGAAATCATCGTCCATAAAAACCCTATTACACAAGTTTTCACATTTTTTTTACAAATTTTGAGACGGCAGCTTCTTCCACATTGACACCATATCTTTCAAGTTCCTACCGTAATCCTATAGCAATGAAGAGAGATGGGTGATTTGCTCCATACTGTAAATCTAAGTTCAAAACGATACCTGAAGCAAGGCAAAAGAATTATGGGGAAGAGAGATATTAACGATCAAACAGTGCATACATACTTTTGGGACACCCCGTACATCACAGTATTTTGTACCACGTAGCGAAATTTTTTTTCAACTTTACATATGAAAGATTATGAGTAAAATTGGATTGAGCATTAGGAAAGTGAAATCGTAGCCATTTGTAGAAACTTTCGACCACAAATTCCAGTAGGGAAGTATACTAAATTAAGCCAGCCTTTTGAGAGGAGGGATATGTGTTTGGACTCAGCTCAAAACGCTGATTCCAAGTATACTGTTTGAGTTGCTCCTAGTTGCTGAGCGTCATTTTAAAGCAAGTTGGCTTCTTTTGTATGCGTAGTTGATAATTCTTGATATGGGCGAACATCCGGCACATAGAAGTCGGCCCGAAAAATGTGCTAGATTATCGAAATTGTCTGTTGAGTCTTTTTTTTTTCAAGAGATCTAGCCTAAACGCATAGGCACTCAAATGATAATATCGCAATTTCTGCGAGTCAATACGCATGCGAAGTTCGCCTAAAAAAGCGATAACTCGCTTCAAAATGATGCTAAGCAGCTAGAGACAGCATTTTTGGAACCATCATTTTCAACTGGGTTCAAATATATAATTTTCTCTCAAAAGGTTTTTAAGTTAGCATCATTCCTTTCTCAGGTAAGTCGCAAGACCCCATAAAAGTGATATTATTATAAATTCATCCTCTTACGTATTTTAACGATTAAGTGTCTGAAAATCCTGTTTGACCGTTCCTATCATTTTAACCATTCTAAAAAACCGGCTGTACAATTGCAGTATGTTTTGTTAAGAGAATTTTGTGCTGATGAGAATAGAACTTGCTTTCAGAGAATATTTTAAAGAAGCTATAAATTTTCTTACTAACAATAAGTAAATTAGGAACTCTAATCCCATATAGCATTGCTACCTCGGATCACTGTTCATAATTTGAGAAGAGTTTTAGGTATTTTGCAAAATTTTGAGTTTGTAACTTATTAGCAAGCAGGCCATCGTACTAAAAGTTGTCATAACCTGAGGTTTAGAAAAGACATGGGCTTCCGCTCTATACTGTAATGAAGCCAGCTCTACAAAAAGGTGCATGAAGGGGTGGAAAACTGGAAAACATCAAGTAAGATATCTTAGATTAGACAGTAGGACATTCTTTTGGGACACTTTCTTATGGTTATGCATCACGTTGGGTCACGGTACCTCCTCGAATAGGAACTCGGAAAAAGCCCAGGCCGTTAAAAGTACCGTTGATGCATGTGCTTAATACGTAATTTTCCCTTCAGAAAGTTGCGAGATAATATTTTGTCTTTGAAAATGATATGAAATTATTGTACTGAATAATACTTTTGTTTTAATTCTTGTCTGTATTAAGTGTTCCATGAATCCTTCCATATTTAAACCTTCAAATTGATATTTCTCAAGAACTGAGACACCTAAAAAGTTGCAAATTTTTGGCAATAAGTAATTACGCTATATAAAGGCTGCTGCAGGACGAAGGCGCAAAAGCATTATTAGTTGAGCGGATGCGAATCGGTGCGAGCGTATCCTCAGCGTTGTAAATCCGGCGCCTTATGCGCTCTGCGTTCGCACTCGAATTTATTGCGCCTTCGTCGTGCAGCAGCCTATAATCAGATGTTTGCGGATAATCAGAACTGCTGCAGGCAATGTTCGAAAATTTGGCGTATTATTTTTTTTCACCTCTAGCCATCAGAAAAACGCAGCAAGTGTGGGTATAAGTATGCAATAGGGAATGTATATGCATGAGCGAATGCAAAGTCCGCAGGTTTGTTTTGAATCAAAACTTTATTTTCGTCTCTTGGAGATTTGTTGTTTTTCAAATTTTGTCTTGAAACTCAATGTGGATACCGTTTTGTAGAGCTTGCTTTAATCTGCCAAATGTTACCCCTCATCCCATTGAGAATCTGAGAAGAACCAACTTATGTTGGCAAAATCTTAGATATGAAACGACTTATGGGACAACCTAATATTTGACACGGAACGTTGGAAATGTATCACCATTTTTGTACCGCAGATTGTTCAAGAAAGCAGAAGCCCAAAGTGCTTCTATTGATTTCTCGGAATTCTTACGATGCACTTCGCAAAAAGCAACATAGCCCGACAACGTACGGAATGGTTATAGCTCGCAACTTTATTCTACCACTTTCTCCTTGTTATTATCAGCAAAAAATCGCTGATGCTATGCAAATGGTTGCAATTTTATGTTGAACAATGTTTTACCAAATTGCCAGCAATCATCCTCTGGCCGTTATTATTATGGTGGCCAAACGCGCATGTTTTCATATAATTCTGTTCTGCAAGAGTCCGATGTTGATTTTAGTAACCATTCGATTGGAACCACTTTGAACATTTCGCATTTTCTTTCAATCAGAGACATTTGGTCTTGTCACAGTTTTGCTTTTTGATCAATTCGCCATTTGACTTTGTGCAAACAAAAGGGTTCATTTCTAAACTATCTGCGTTATTGTTGGGCTTCTCTTTCACATTTGTCGAATATTGCCAACAGCGCCTGCCAGGATGATTTAGAACGCCATTTAACCCATCAAGCTCTCACCCCCCAAATCGGTCTACATTCCAGTATCTAGTCTTCTCAGGAAATGAAATCGCTCATTTGAATAATGAACTGGTTAAAAAGCTCGCTATTTGAAAATATCATCTGGTTAAAAAGCAGTTTCGATAGATTTCGACAACTTGTAGAAATGCTGTACACAAAATTTGTATGAACGTATGGCAGGTGTTATTAGAAGCAGATCAAGGAGAACAAGGCATTTTCTATGACGAAATGCTACAGGAAAGCTGGACAACCCAATTTGTCTACCAAATCCTATATATATAAAGCTGAATGTCTGTTTGTCTGTCTGTCTGTCTGTGTGTACGTATGTTCCGAATAGAAAATTCCATTTCTGAACCGATCCGGACCAAACTTGGCACACATACACTTCGGGCCCCGACGGGTGTCATAGGCTACTTTTCGTCATCGATCGATATCGATTTTATCGATTTTTGCAAAATTTGAGCTACGGGGCTGGGAGTTGGCACAGGGGGGTAATCGAGCATGCTGATTACGAATATAATAATGACAGGGCCGGGCGGAGCCGGATAAGTCAACTAGTTTCTGATAATCCTAAGTTTCTACATCTACGCATGATTCCACATGGTCTAAACAAGCTTGTTCCTTTATTCTTCTTCAAAACCATTTGGGAGCTGAACTTAAGTTGATTCATTGGATGTTTTTTATTGTTGCTTTATCCCATACTACTGATTATGTCTTAAGTTTTTCACTGATTGTGGTCATGTGGCACGCTTTTTGCGCGTATCAACTAGATAAATAAATAAATGGTCATGCTTAGAAGTGAGTTGAAGTTGGAGCAGAACTGTAGAGCTGATACGCACATATACGAATTCCAATTTTTTTAACCAGTCGTTAAGCGATAGTTAAACTCATTTTTGTACTACCCAAGATGTCAGCTACGCGCTCGCATTCCGAAAAATACAATTTCAATACAGAAATTCACAAATTGCAAATCTCTTCAATGCAGTTCGTTATAACCATGTAACCTTCTAAGCTTTAATTCAACTAGCTTGGCGGCTGGAAGGCTGGGCTTTGTGACCTGATTGAGGCTACTCGCACCCGCGCGCAGTCTGCGCCTCTCTCGCGCGCGTGCTCTCTGATCTACCTGGCCTTAATTGTTCACGAAGCCCCGCCTTTCAACCGCCAAGCTTGAATCAAAGGTGAGTATCCTTGTTGAGGTGCTTGTCCAGACACTTAGAGCGAACTTTATAAATTTAAAAAAGTTATTTGGAAATAGCAATATAAGGAGATAGTTAGTAATTATTAATAGAAATTTTCAAATGACTGACAATACGAGCTCGAGACAAGCTCCCTTGCAAAAATCTTAGCTACATAAATGTTATGTAAATGTTATAAAGTTTCGTGATTGTTTGATAAAACAAGACTATTCTTTTTGCCGACTTAGTAAATGGGGTACTGTTGATCAGCAATTCGTAATTATCCTATTCGAGCATGAATTTTGTTTTAGTCAGAATGCATGTATGACTAAAGTGAGCATGCCACCTTTCTCGATAAATGATTGAGAAAGAAGTTCTTCGAATTGAGTGCACGGTTGAACTTGAAATGCGCTTTAGGATGCAACTGAACAACTGGATTCAGATCCAATGGGGATCTAGCAGCTCACCAAAAGTAGGGCAATTAGGTCTCACGCCGAAAGTGCCCAGAAGGCGATTTAGAAATGTTGGAGCTTCACTCTGCGCAAAGTGATGTTTTCTGAGGTTATCTATGATCGGAGAAAATTCAGCCTTTCCGTAAGTTGTGGTGCAAAAGGCGACAATCTTAAATTCTGTGAAATTGCCTCCTCGATGCCAAAGTGACACGGCGGCAAACTACGAGGGGTGAAGGTGGGCGCAGGTACATGATTCGATGCCGTAAGTAAGACTACCTTAGAGATTAGAGAAAGAAATTCGATTGCGTCCCTTTCACACTTCTTGGTCTGCGCGTCCCCCCCCCCCCCGCGGTTAGTAGCTTTTTGTCGTGGGTTGAGTGAGTTAATGCGCCCCAGCGCGAAGCGCGGACGCGGCAACGCTCTAATTTCAAATGTCGCTGAGAAGCTTGGTCATGGTAATTTGAGCCGAGATGAAGTCTCATTGTTCGTTTTTGGTAGGTTTACTATTTCTCAGCCTTTTTAAGGCCTCAATACTCAATTACGGTCATTTGATTGAAGGAAACTTACTAGGGTTAGTATTTCGAGGTAGTTCACAACTTGTTGCGTCCTGACACCTGATAATGTAAACAGTATGACCGGTACGTATTTATTATGTGCTATTTTTGCTTCATCTTTCTTGTTCGCCTTTTTCGAGCTGTAGTGTGTTTATGCTCACTTCTGCTCTCGAATCGTAGTGAGTGATTTGACATTTTTCCTATATGCTTCATCATTTAGATGAGCATAAGAAGACGCGATACATTTAACAGCAATGACACTTCGATCACATCAACAAGCACATGTCCGCCTCAGAAACCACCGCGTGGCTATCCGAGAAAAGGTCCGGTACGAGTTGAGCCGCTCAAAGATGTAGCAAATGGCAATACACAAGGGCAATCTACCACCTCACCGGGTAAGATTCATGGTGCAGAACGATTTGAGCTTTAAATTGCTTACTCTATGTGCTTTATTACAGCCCCGTCACAATGTCGATTTTCAACGACGCAAAAATACCAGAATATGAAGAATTACTTTCGACGGCAGATAGAAAAATTGCATAGGTAGGCCAGTCTATCTCTAATTCTCAACATTGGTGTAGGAATTTTTCACATTTGATTTCAGAGAAAATGGTGAGTTTTCGGGGTCTGAAGCAGTCAACATACTTGAAGAATATCTCCAAGCAAACCGCGAGCAGTTTTCTGCTCATGTGGTGAAAAGAGAAAACGCAGTAAAGGTAGGAAGAGTTGGTAGAACGCATCAGCAGTTCTTCTTCAAAGATTCTACTTCAACATAATGCCCATCTGGAAGTATTTGGTTCATATATTAGGGTGGTCGGTAAAAAATGGGGCAGCTTAATTTTTATTAAATTTTAAGATTTTTTGTTTCGGTCAACAACAAGCAGGCTGCAACGTAAACGTCGCTTATATAAGCGACCTTCGCCTATTATTCTGGCAAAGCGTCAACGCTCCTCTCCCACAACCCTACGCGTGGCTCCCTGAAGAACGCGAACAGGGTTTTTTGAACATCGCTCATTCTTGCGCTGCCATACCGTAAAGTTATAGAACAATTGATATACCATTCGAAAGAGCTCTTCATGCTCTTTCAAACAATATATTGAATGTACATGATTTCTTTCTATTTCCGGGTAAAAATAGCGAAGTACCTTTAAATATCGCGATTTTTTGGCGCAACAAACACCAGTAAATCAATTTTCAATCTGTATTTTCCGAATATAGATGAAAATTGAGGTAAGCTACATATAAATGGATAGAGCCTAAAAAGTCTGAGAGAGAATAATTTATTCTAATACTTATCAAAATTGGGAAGTTTAATTTTCTTTTTTGAGAAATCTACATTTATTCTCTAGGTGCCCCATTTTTTACCGATCACCCTAATAGCATATCTCAAAAATCCGTTGAGATTCATGATAGGTGGCTGCACACTTATTATGGCTGCTGTTATCTAACTACAGTGACTGGAAGGCAAAAGCAGAGTGCTATATGAAATCAACCTGTTTGTTTTTATCTGTGTCATGATTGCGGGTGTTTTCAAGCAATTATCGATTATACGAGCGAACTTATAAAGTGCGGTTCATAATTATACGAACACCCCCAATTTTGGGAGTTCCTGGACTTTTTGGAAGAAACTCAAAAAGTCGTTGATACCACGCGAAAGAGCACTGCCGGAAATGGTATATGATCCATAGGAATGATAATCGATATCAATTTTAGGAGTGTTTTTACGCCTAATGTGAATTTTGAGCGGTTCATAATTATACGAACACCTCAAACAAAGGTCCATTTTTCATTCAAGATTGCAATCTTTCGGGTCCAAATTTTTTGTGGAGTTACAGTAACAAAGTGTGAAATGCCTGCTACACACTGAACCCAGTGCAGTTCAAAAAGAGAAGCGTTACTTATCCCAGATGGCTCCAAATGCTTTTGGAGTCATTGCGCTCCAAAAACGTCTGTTTTTCTATGGTTTACGCACTCTAATTAGCTTCTGCCAAAGCTATGAGATAAAATAAACTTTTTCGATAGATATTTTGTTTGACGCTTGGAAAATCTTTGCGTTTTCGTGCCGTGTTTCGAATAAGTTCCATCTTTACCGTAAAGTTAGCGCAATTTCGAGTCTCAAAACTCAGCTTCTGTCTCGCGCAAACATTTGGTATGAAGCAGCTGCATTGCTTGCACGATGATGTATCCGTGCCAAAGTTTTTGGGTTTTTTGCAGGACTAGCCTTGAACTACGGAGCAAAAAACCAGATAAAGGGGTGATTGCAATAGTAAAAACAGTGGATTTGGTGAAATGACGCCTGCGTGGCCAGAACAAATGCTCAACACTGCTGATTTTTTTCTGGCCAACTCCCAGTCTTGTGAACTTTTACATATTATGTACTTACTTCATTCTAGGACTTTAGAAGCTGAGTTTTGAGGCTCGAAATTGCGCTAACTCTACGGTAAAGATGGAACTTATTCGGAAAACGGCACGAAAACGCAAAGATTTGCCAAGCATCAAACAAAATATTTATCGAAAAAGTTTATTTTATCTCATAGCTTTGGCAGAAGCTAATTAAAGTGCGTAAACCATAGAAAAACAGACGTTTTTGGAGCGCAATGACTCCAAAAGCATTGGGAGCTATCTGGGATAAGTAACGCTTCTCTTTTTGAACTGCACTGGGTTCAGTGTGTAGCAGGCATTTCACACTTTGTTACTGTAACTCCACAAAAAAATTGGACCCGAAAGATTGCAGTCTTGAATGAAAAATGGACCTTTGTTTGAGGTGTTCGTATAATTATGAACCGCTCAAAATTCGCATTAGGCGCAAAAACACTCCTAAAATTGATATCAATTATCATTCCTATGGATCATATACCATTTTCGGCTGTGCTCTTTCGCGTGGTATCAGCGACTTTTTGAGTTTCTTCCAAAAAGTCCAGGAACTCCCAAAATTGGGGGTGTTCGTATAATTATGAACCGCACTTTACTTGAGTAATTTGGACATTTTAGGTACTTGACATGTGGTTGCGCGAGAATGTTATAAGTCCATTAAACAGCAACTACAAAGACCCCCCATCACTTTTTCAAGACAGCAAACGATCTATGTACGTAATGAACCGAGACGAAGATCACAAGTGAGTAGAATCTTGTCAGAATTCGTTTTATTCTTGTTTGTTACAATATGCATATTTTTGAATTATTGTATGTAAAATCAATTTCATGAAGTATATAGCCTTGTACCAGCGTTTTATAGATGTAATTTTATGGTGACTGCATTTTCCCTTTCATCATTTATATCTACTGTCTTCTTGTTCTTCTGTACCCTTTCTAGTCGCTCTCGTATAAAATGAGCCAAAAACTGTAGTGTTCGACCTGTATGTATACCTACGCGGAAAAAAAATGGATCATACTCACAACTTTCAATCTCAGGTTGTACATCTGCGCTACTCGCAACTTTTGATCTCAGGTTGTACATCTGCGCATCTCCCATGAACACTAACAGAGAGAGCAGTAGGCGCCCGTCAAGAAGCAGTTCATTCAAGAGGTTTTTCTCTCCTGGTAGATGTGAGTTTTGATTTGCGTATATCAATCATTCAGTTATAGTGCGATTTGTTGCAGCAAAATGTCCCGAAGCAGCGACAAACTCACAGGATGTGGTGGTTTCTCGTTCACCATCGTCGATTAGTGTTGGATGTGATTCAGTGCAAGCCGTTAACTTTGTACTGAATCCAGTACAAAAGTTTGTAACAAATACAGTGCAACAAAAAACACAAAGTCGTCCCTTAGCAGGTGGGCGAGTATTCTTGAATATGCTGTTTTGAGTACTTCAAGGTGCTTTTTTTAAATTGGTGAAGACTCCTAGAGATAGTGCCAAAAAACGACGACTAGAAAACCTTGAAAGCACCGTCCACTCAAGATCTCGAATCATTGTTTTTGTCGACTTCAGGCCTTCTGAAAGCCCTGATTCCGAATATGGAGTCGAAAATACGCGAAAACCCCAAAATTCCCTGTTTCGAGAACCCTCTGCAATCAAGTAGGCGGGGCGACCGTTGTCGTCCCGCCTACTTTGCTACTTCCGGAGCGGGTTTCTAGCTCCAGAAGCAGTCTTTTGTGGTGAAGTTTGGGGGTTTGCCTAGTATGGGGGCCCACACTAGTATGCCATCATAATCTTGCCAACCTCCATTCTGGGTGGACGGTGCCTTTGAGATAGCAAACGCTGCAGTTTTTTCTAGATGTAGGTGATCTTCATTTTACTCCAGAGGAAGTTCGGTTGCATGACGCCGCTCTCTTTCGACTTCTTACCATAGTTGATGTCCCTATGCTTGATGACATAACAAGTCTTCCCGGGCATGAGTCGGTGTGTTGACTGTATAACCTTTCTCTTAACAGTATAGAACAATTTGAAATATCTCTTGCAGAAAAGTGTCTCAATTCTATCCTCAATACTCTCAAAAATGGGCTTCAGCGCCGTCTCTGCTGCAGTCCTGCACTTTAAAGATGAAGAAGAAATGGATGATCTTTTGCACAACACCCCAGCGATTAAGTACTGATGAGCTTTCTGCTCTTTGAGTTCAAAAATCATTGGCACTTTGTAGACCGATAGTGCCGTGGTTCCAAATGGCTCGCATCTGCGCACCCACGCTTCATTTCAAATCTAGTGGAAGTGCAAAACCTAGCAAGACGGAAGTTCACAACTGGGCTAAACAATCACTTCAAGCGGTAAGATCCTTTCAACTAAAAATGCCCTATTATTTTTGAAAACCACTTAGTTTTGACTGATAAGAAAGCTCTAGACATTTTTGCGGTCTGTTATTCCTCAGAATATAATCCATGCATCGTGCAGTTCTCCAGTTGTAGGCTTTTGGGGGCGAAGTTTGTTGATCATATCGTTTTACTTGCTATTCAAGTCAAATTGCGCACAGCCTGTGCATGCGGTCATGTATGTAAGTATGTGTCTACTATCTATTGACCATGTGGGAGTGGTAACGTTTATGAAAGCTGAAGATTTGGAGGTCGAAACCCCTCATAATCTCGAATTTGCGCCTGTATTCTTCATAAAAAGCTTCAATTGCGCTCGCTCTTACCGTAATCTTGTAGGCTATAAGGCTGCGATATGTCGGTGCTCTGATCTCACATATCTTTTGTTTAGGTTTCTAGTCGCTATTCCTCAATCACGCACCGTGGCTCATCCCCGCTGATTCCAACCGAATTCACCTCCATCCTGGAGGCTATCGTTAATCAATTACTCGGCAAGAAGGGCAAAAAGACCAAACTGGCTTTGCAGTGAGTCTCCTGCAACTTTCCGCTAACTGAATTGGTGCATGTGTTTCTGCAGATATCTCTGCCTCATGATCCCCCAACAAGTACGTTCCCATCTTGTTAATGTCGTGCACTTCCTCCTTCGCACGATAGGAACTGACGAATACATGTCTATTAGGAGCCCTTTCTATCTGGGAAAAAAGGTGAGTCTGAATTTGATGTATTGTAATCATCAGCTACGAAGTTTTACATGTCATCAAATTGTCTGATATGATTCACACACATGATCCCAACTGATATTGACGATTTCCTTTAATTCCCTTTATTTTTTTTTTCAATTTTTGGCAAATTTTCATGTGATGTCTAGAGCTGCATAAGGGTTGGAAGCTAATACTAATCCAAGTTTATTCTGTCAAATGCTTAGGAAGAGATAGAATCTAGCTTGATGGGAAAAGGCGCTGTTGCACTAATGAAATCCATGAGTATCGTGACTTGGCCGGGTTCCATATGTTTGTCTAGGCGACCTTTTGTAATTTAGTCAAGAGTTTTTTTTACTGAATACAATCTATCTACGCGTGCAAAAACCCACAACTTCTTCCAAGAAAACATTTGGCATATGGGGGTAATAGGTTTGAGATGAGCTTTCCAAACGCCCCCTTCAGCGGTATACATCACACCTCTGACGGCACAGCAGTAGCCCTCCCTTGCTTATATGCCATCATGCCTTGTATGGCAGTCAATCTTGCTTTTGAAGCATTTTTTTCAGGGTGACAATGAGAACTTTGAAGTCGTTCTGAATGAACTTCGCCCCTTCATCTTTCCGCAAAGTATAGAAATACCGGATCAAAACAGCATTGTCGAGGTTGGTGTCTCAAGTCTTGTCTGATGTCTCTCAGCAAAATCTCTTTGCAGGTTTTGATGCAGTTGCAAAAAGAAGGATCACTAGGAAAAGAGACGCCAGAATTGACATCTGACCTGCAAAATATGAGGTATGTAACTCACACTGAGTAGGATTCTAAATAATCTTTCTGTATGTAGTTGTAGAGCGAATGCAGATAAAGCAACAGTTCCGATTCGATACTGTGAAGCTGAATCGTCTGTGAAAGGATTTGACGTTGACGCTGAGTTAGCTCGTGCTCTGAGTGCTATCATAGACGATCCTCGGATAACTTTAGCTGAAAAACAGAAGAAATGTGAGCTTTTCAAGCAGCATCATCCAAAGATGTACAGGAGATACTTTGCTCATCTTTCATGGTAACTTGTGCTTCTAACGATTTCGTATGCATGACCTATCGCTCATATTCTTTTTTTCTTTGAATAGCATTAATTCAGATAATTATGGTCTACTCAGATTTAATTTTTGTTAGCATAAATTCATGATACTTAACCGTAGCCATTTACATAAATATGATGCATTATCGCCATCTTAAACGTGATTCACGTTGTTTCCTTCTTGTGCATCATTCTAATCGCATAATCTTCTAGGTCAAGATTTTCTTGCTATTTTTACTGATTCAAAAGCTTGTAATATTCCTAGAACAACGAATTGAGTTAGAATCTGATTATATAGAATATATGCCGATGATGATCTCTCAAGTCTGCAGTGCTTACTCAGGGGTCACATCAGATGACGCTTGCTATCCTCTATTGAAACTTGCTGATTGATAGGTATAGACTAATAAATAAATGATTGCCCTGGGTGTATCAGAAGTAAGAGAAGCTTCGCTTTAACCTTCAGTGAAGAGGAAAGTGCCATGGCTTTTATGGTCGAGGAGGACTCCGACCACTGCGGTGTGCCGCAGCGTTCATAACTCGCTTGGCCTACGGCATAGTGGTCACGATTCCGTCGCGCTGCGGTTTCTGTGGAACGACAACTGTCACGCATTGATTGCATGCCCTCGTGTCTGCTACGGCGGTTGTGGTAGTCGTCCGGCGCGACGGATCGCAGACCCTTTTTGGCTAGGGCATAGTTCTGCAGCGATAATCGCCGCGATTTCGGCAAAATTCAGCGATGTCGCGTCGCACGCCGCACAGGCGACTGGGCAATATCACTGAGATGCGAGGGAGATCTTGAGAACTTTTTATGAATAGCGCTGGTGTTTCAGATGTTTTTATTCGAAAAAGAAATGAAACTTGGTTGAAGTAGTTGTACAGAGATACTTCTAGTTTCGAGGCTTTTTCCTAACCTTAAAATCGTCGGATGACTTGTTTTTCGAAAGTGTAAGCATTTCTAGCGAGGTGGTTTTTTGGAGTGTTTTTGGGTGGTTTTTGTGTTAGAGTCTTTGCTTTTGCAAAGTTAGTACACATTATCACTTTGCTCGTTTGCATATTTTACGTTTCGCTATCCGTATGAATAGAGGAAATTATCGTCCTTACGTGCACCAATACCAAACGGTTATGCTTGTTCGCTATCTTCGCAATGATGCTGTGTTTGACTTTTTGAAAAGGCGTTTAATGTGGGTCTTTGCTAGAGCACTACAAAATCCACGTACTAGTTTGTTCCACCTAAAAATTTGGTGAAGAGTGTCTTAATAGTAGCTGTTCGCTTCCAGAGGCCGACGTTCCTAGGTGAGATTCACTATGTTAAGAACTGGTAAGCTCGTGAAAATTGGATTGATTTGGTGAAAGGTGGGCAAAGTGTGAGAATTCTTTGTACTAGCTTTCATCACGATCGGCATGAGGGCTCTATGCTGAGAGTGAAGTGAGTGGAATAAAGCATATCGCACAAGAACAGCTTGCTCAGTTTGCGTACACCTGCCCTTTGTGTGCAGAGATATGAAATCGCGAGCATTAGGGGTCGTTCAGACCGCGCCGGAACCCGCTTAAACCCGTTCAAATACGTCCGAACCCGTCTGAACTGCCTAAGCGCAGCAGGTTGCATTCTTTTGCGTTCGTTTTGCGTAATTTCCTTTTTTTCAATTTCAGCAAAAAAGATCGAAACCCAAAAGTGAAGGTGGTCACTCTGTACCAGCTCAAAAGTGAAGGTAGGCGGAAAATCGGCTCCGACTATCGCACCTCTGCTCCCAGCCCCGTAGCTCAATCTTTGCAATCAATAAAATCAATAAAAATCGACAAAATAGATATTGAACGATGAAAAAAGGTAGCCTACGACACCCGCCGCTCTCCGAAGTGTACGTGTGCCAAGTTTGGTCTGGATCGATTCAGAAAAAATTTTTTTTCGGAACATACGTACACACAGACAGACTTACAGACAAACAAACAGTCAGACAGATAAACAGAGTTCACCTTCATATATAAGATGATAGCCTTGCGTTCAATCAATGCGGCACCACTTTTTACAACGGAAAAAATGCTATTTCTACAACTTTATGTGTTACTAAAAAATTTATTTCCTATTCTTTTCTCAGGTTTTTTCACGAACAAACCATTTCCTCTCGAACGACGGTGGAAAGTGCGTGAGCAAGGTACTAAAAATTCAGAACTGAAGTGGGAAAATGGTTGAGACGCTGCAACGAACAAGTTCCGTAGCCGGCGCGGTATGAATGCAACCTCAGGCATACCTCGAGCGGAGGCTCAAGCCTCAAGTGGAGGCTTTTTTACCATTGTGAAAACCCGGCACTTTTTTAAAGGACCGCAGGCATCTGAAAGCGGAGGACGAGACGGTTCCAATGGTGACTACAACTCGTACAAGATCATCTGCAAAAGCCATGGATTTTTTTTTTACATCATAAACTCAAAAATCTTCAAAAATCACTAGGCATACTCTTCGCCCAAACGCTTTGAACGGACCTGAGACATGCTATATACAGGGTGCCCCAAAAAATGTACTCATTGTTTGATTGTAAATAACTCTCTTGTAATGAAGTGTTTCGGGAAGCTTTAGGCACCATTTTGTAGAGCGAAGTTCAACTAGGACTACAGTATAGAGCAAATCATCCATCTCTCTTCATTACTGTAGGATTACGGTAGAAACTTGAAACATATGGTGTCAATGTGAAAAAAGCTGCCGTTTCAAAATTTTTCAAAAAAAAATGTGAAAACTGTGTAATAGGGTTTTTATGGACGCTCAGTTCAATACTCAACTGTTCACAAGATTGCGAAGCTTCCTAAACAGCGGTGTAACCGCACTTTTTAGGAACATTGAAAAAATGGCGCTATCCCTCTTACATGGCATAACTCTTCAAAGGAGCATCATAGTAAGTTGGGAACTTTACACTTAGAATCAGCAGCTCTACTTGGCCTATAAAAGTTCTCAGGCTGTTTTGTTTCCTTTCTGAGTCAAAATATGGTCTTTCATGGCTCAAAACCCTCTTTGAAGCTTCCATTGTAATCCTACATAATGAAGAGAGATGAGTGATTTGCTCTATACTGTGAATTTAAGTTGAATTCGCTCTTCAAAATGGTACCTAAAGCTTCCCGAAACAATTCATTACCCAGTGAGTGCATATTTTTGGAACACTATTTCCTGAAAACGGAGGACAAGGCGGCTTTGATGGTGACTATTCCCATGTACAAGCTATTCATCTGCAAAATTTATGAATTTTTTTAATGTCGAAAACTCGTAAGTGTCCAGAAATCACTAGGCACACCTTTAACTAAGTACTTCTATGGACGGACTCTAGGCAAACTATTTATTCTTTGAAACCAGAGTGGGATGTTGTACCACGGGACTTTCCTCGCTGACGTTGCTGTTCAACAGCAGCTACTATTTTTTTCCTCCTCGGAATTCGTGAATGCCTATAAATCTACTTCGTCCTTTCCGATACACAATTAATTCCCGTACAAATATCTCTTTTGCTTAATCTTACCTCACTGTTGATTCTTCTTCTTCGTTTTTGGTGAAGGCGATCACTTTGGTCCCGGTTCAAGGATGAAGGGAGGGTGAGCAAATTCTCACACCATCCCACGTATGCCCTGAACAGCAACCGCCTCCGTTAGACAGCTGCGCCAATTCTACAATTGTAGCTTCTCCTTCGGACGAATGACTATGTCCACTACTCTTCAGTAGCTGCTAGACATTGGAATATGCCCACTGTATGCATCACAAACAAAATGCAGGGCCAAGCTACGTGTCGCAATGGCCTAAGGCACTCAATGCGGCGACAGCGACTCTGTTACTCAAATAGAGAAAATTTATCAAGCACCGAAAATATTTTTTCCGAGGGTGGATAGCAGTGTCAGGAATGAATCAAGTAAAACAATTTGAAAACAGCGTCAGTACAAAATGAAGTAGCTTGGCTTGGCTTTTCATGAAGTTGCTTACTGCAATGTTCTTTAGTCTTCGGAATTTTACAAATGCAGGAACGGGTTTTTTTCCAAATTTTATTTGATTTATATTTTTACATTCGTGCTTCATCTCATTGTCATCGACAAAATTAATGTTCGAGAATGCTGCTCAACTGTAAACACAAACACACACAGACAAACAGACAGATACGCTCTTTATTGTAAGTTATGATATTCATACTCGAATAAGTTATCATGAATTGAATGAAGAAATATTTAAACTAATCGAATAATTGAATAAATGAAATTGCGAATATCAAACTATCCGAATACTGGAACAGTCAAATCTTAAAAACTTGTTGAGCACGAAATCGGTTCCACCATGCTTTCAAATATTCGGATATCTGAGTAGGTGCTTTTTCATGACATTAAAAAATCGAATATTCAGACAAGCCATTTTCTCAACTGGCATGATAAACGATTGTTAAAATCGCTGTCTCTTTCATATATTCAACTGTATTAATCAAATAACCAAATTTTTCGAATAGTTTGTTCGAATATTCGGCCTCAGCTACAGGCTCAACCATTCGACCACCACGCGTTGCAGTCGAATATTATGTGCGAAGGTGCCTGTTTGTTGTAGATTCTTTCGCATCTTCTAGCAGAAAAGTGGGAAGATTTGGAAAATGAAAAAAACCTCAGAATATGCAAATATCGATAACCACACCTATAAAAGTGCGGAAGTGACTCTTTTTTTTTGCAAATATTGAATCAATGGAAAATCTTCTCTTGTCTGGTTATATTATTGCTTATGCAGCAAGAAAAAGCGCCGATGCACATCCAGGCTGCCAAAGAACGACATATACGCAGGACAGACATTTTTTGATCGAAAGTCCAAATTTTGTTTTAGCCTCGTTTTCCCTTCACCCATCAGAAGATTTGACATACTAAGAAGTAAAGAATATTGCATATTTTCTTGCTCTAACTGTGCATTAGCACTTCCTCAAGTAAATTCATTCGAGCACAAACTCGACTCTGAGAGTAATACTGAGATAGAACACGAAAAAATGCCTTAGAGGGAGGGGCCGGGTTTTCTACTGCTTTGGGTCGTTTTTATGTTTCTTTGTATTTCATCCCCATGCCACCTGCCGAATGTATCAAGGAATGGTTAATGTTTTGTCAACTTTTTTGCTGGCTCGTTACTCTTAAAATTGATGTTTTTGAGCTCTCATCTCTTTTTTGCAGTTTAGCAATGCTTTCGAACGCCTATTGGACAAATGCATCAATGCATTAACAATCTCCTATACCAAAAAATCAAAATATGCTGCAATCATATCGAAATTTCTTACAATAAATAGCCGCTGAGACGCATTCCTTACCAGTCCACTTTCGTTGTTTCGACGATGTTGTGTTTCATTTGAAAAAACCTCATCCTTCCCAAAGCTGAAACA